GGGGCGCCAAGTTAACGGGGCATTGGGGGGGTGAGGCTGCTCCTGGAGGGGGGCAGGGGAAGGGAAGAGTGCGCAAGGCATTGGGTGGGTGGGGCGCCGTTTGTGGCTTCCACAAAAGCCACACTCCGGCGGGGTACCTGGCGTCTGCTCCCCCCCAAGGGGGTCATTTCTGCAGCGGCCAGGGGGGGTCCCGGCCTGGAGAACGGGATCAAGACAGAGGAGAGAGAGAGAGAAAGAGAAAGAGAGAGAGAGATGGAAAGAGCAGCGTCAGAGGAAAGGCGAGCACCATCAACCCTGGCCAGAAGGTGGGCAGGGGTTGGAGGGTGTGGTTGGGGGGGTTTTGGGAGCCCCCCCTTTGGTCATTGTCCAAGGGATGCAGCACCACCTGGTGGAAGGGGGGGGACATTCCCACATCTCCCTGTGGCGGCCACACTCCTTGCTCTGTCTGACCGTTCTCCCTCCTCCAACCCTGGTCAAAATCCTGGTGCCCGCTTGGCTCCAAGATCACGGCATGGCCCCCTTGAAACTCTCCTCCCCTTGGCCCCTCCAGCCGTCCTCGAGGTGCTGTCTGCCCCCCACACACACACACACACCGGGGTGCTGCTGCTGGCAGCGGTGGCGGCCAGCCATGCCACGGCAGAGCAAGCGGTGAAGGCAAAGGGAGGAAACCGCTGCAAAGTGGCCCCCCCACACCCCGTGTGGCATTTCTGCTCAGAGCTGCCGCCCCCAGGAGGATATTTTTAGCCAAGCGGCGTAAGTGGAGAGAGCCCATGCGTGTCGGGGCTGCCGTCAGCAGGGGTGGGGGGTAGCAGGAGGCAGGCAGCGGCTAAAAATACTCAGGGCACCCAAGGATGAGCCTCGGAGGCAAGGATGCATCAGCCCAAGACCTTCACCATAGTGGCAACTGCTGAACCTAACGTTAACATTCACCAATAAGATAGACCATTTTTGTGTAGTGTAGACTGTGTAGACCAGGAGACAGAAGGTTCAGAATCAAGACTCTACTCCGTTTTGAATGAATGAATGAGAGAGAGAGAGAGAGAGAAGCAGGCAAGTCCAGCGCCACGGCTGAAGAGACGAAAGAGATCACGGCCAGAAGCGGGGTGGGTGAGCCGGACTGGGGAGCCAAGCAGGGGAGGAGGCTGCTGCCTCGACGCCAGCCCCGCACAGCCCGGCTCGCACCACCTCAGCCAGCCCACCCCGCCCGGAATGGGGACTGTCGACCCGACGCCCTCACCTGTCATGGTCGGCGCTCCGGAACCGGGGCAGCATCTGGCGGAAGCTGCTGGTGCGGTCCAGCTTGGGCTGACTTTTCGCCCGTTTGATGGAGCTCTTCAGGCGACGGCTGAGGAATCCCTGTTGCTAAAAGTGGGGGACAGCAAAAGAGAGGGAGGGAGAGAGAGAAAGAGAGAGAGGTGGGCCCCCAGGGCGACAGGTGATGCTGAGACCACGTTCCCAGTACAGAACACACACACCCCGGGAATGGGGTGGGGAGGCAAGGCAAGGGACTGGGGTTTCTGGTCAAGCTCTTCTGGTCAACCTGAACTCAGCTCTGGAAGGGACAGCTGGGCTCTGCAGACCACACCAGACTGTATAAACATCTGGCCCACCTCCATGTCCTTCCACATCTGGGGTGCTGCAGCTGCTGAGAGACAAACGGGCTCAAACGGCCTCAGTCTCACAGGCAGCGGCATCACAACAGGGCCCCACACGCAACTGGTCAGCACTGCCATCCTTTCAGCTTTCCCAGTTACTTCCCCTTTCATTCCTTTTTTGCTCCCATCCACGCCACAGTTCATTGGTCGCTGCTTATTCCGACTGCCGGTCCTTCCCATTCTTGCCTTTTACTCTAGCAGTGGTCTCCAACCTTGGGCCTCCAGATGTTCTTGGACTACCACTCCCAGAAGCCTTCACCACCACCTTGGCTGGCCAGGATTTCTGGGAGTTGAAGTCCAAGAACATCTGGAGGCCCAAGGTTGGGGACCACTGCTGTAAAGCACCGTCTAGTCCACTGGTTCTTAACCTTGGGTTACTCAGGAGTTTTGGACTGCAACTCCCAGAAGCCTTCACCACCAACTGTGCTGGCTGGGGTTTCTGGGAGTTGCAGTTCAAAAACATCCGAGTAACAAAGGTTAAGAACCACTGGTCTAGTCTAACGGAATGGAGGAGGGAGAAGAAAGGTAAAAATGGATTACAAAAGGATATGGAAAGGAGTCCGCTAAAGAGGGCTACATTCATAAATTCCAATGTGCATCTAAAGGACTAAACCAAGAACAGGGCTTTTTGAAGTTTACTATATAGAGAGCAACTAGTTGGCTTTCTTCACCGATCTGTGTACAGCCAAACTATTGTCACTGGCAAAACCTTGCCCAACGTACCTTTTCTTAAAATCAAGTCTGATTCTCAAGCCTGGAAAGCTTGCATCCTTTTTTTTATCTACCTATCGCCCAGAAACTACATTCTCAACTCCATGACTGTTTAACAGCCTATGGAAACAATGGCATGGTCACCTGGGCAACTCATTGTCAAGACTCTTACCGTGTTGCCTAAACATGGAGTTGAACGGGATTGCGTGAGCATCTCCTGCTGATCTGGCCTGCCCGTTCTCACTCCAGCTGTGAGATCGATCCAGCAAACCTGCCAGAGCTCAGGGAACACGTGCAGTTTTCCTTCTGCTCTGCATTAAGCCAGCAGGATAAGAGACCCAGCTGCTGATGTGTGTCTGTCGTTCCCTACCTCCCATTCCACTGTGGTTCCACTTCTATCCCCTATACCATCACAGACACTATATATAAACCGGTGGCCCAGATTTTGCTCTCCGTGTATATGAAAAAAAAAACCCTGATCGGCAGTCCATGGACGCTCACAGTGATGGTCTTCCAGCTGCTACCTGGCTATATCTTTGTGTTGTTTTTCCCCCCTCTGAATTCTAAGTGTGTTTTAACACAATCGCCAGCTAAGTTGTATTTCAGCGTTGGTCACTTAATGGCCAAACTCCTCTTGTGCAGTTACGTAAAAGGCATAACTTTTAGCAGCACATTAACATAAATTAAGAATTCTCCATAAGCATTTTTGGATGCACGCCAAGCCACAGAAGTGTGTACGCACCAGACAGCGCCTATGGAAATTTCTTGGCCTAGGACAGTTTGCCACTAAATGTTACGCTTTTTGCGTAGTGGCGCAAGCGGATTTCAGCCACTGTGTTTTTAGTGTTTTGCTCTTTTTAACTACATGCTAAGCCACTTTAGGGCCCAGCCACATACTACTAGGACGGGCAGGGGATACAATTGTGCCACTGTCTACCCCACACACCCCAAAATCCTGGAGAAAAACATGTTGTTCATCACAGATGGCAATATTTATTTATTTATTTATTTAATTAATAAATAAATAGATAATTGAAACTGTGGATACCGATCCCGTGGATATGGGCTCTACCAGACCAGGAGAGGTGAACTAAGACCTGACTCCGAGAAGGGGCGCCCCCCGGCTCCTTGCCCACTTGACTGGAGGNGAGGCGAAGAGGGGGGCGCCCGCCTTTCCGGGCTGTGCCTATTCTCTGACAGGGTCCAGCTCCTCCACCCCGTCAGGCTCCCTCCAGAGGCTGCTGCCCCCTGCCAGCACCCCCGGGGCCCTGACGCAGGAGGGCCCCCTTGCCTGCCTGCCCGCCTGTCCCAGGACGATCCTTGACTTTAAGGGCCACGGGTGGGGCAGAAGGGGGCAGAGACAAGACCAAGGGAGGAAGAGGGAGGAGGCTGCTCACCGAGGGCCGGAAGGGGGGCGCCGGCGGGGCATCCATGTTGATGCTGTACTGCTTCCCTCCAGGAACGCTTTTCCGCCGGGAGCGACTGGCGTGGTAGTCTGGAAAGAAAGATGGGAAGGTACAATTCTTCCAGCCACCGGCCACTCAGGCAGCTGACGCAGCAGGAGCAGGCAGGTCTCACGGCTCACACACACACACACACACACAGAGAGAGAGAGAGAGAGAGAGAGAGAGACCGCCTGGCATCAGGGATTCTTGTAGCCAAGGGCCTCTGCGCTGACTGAGGGCTGGGCTAGATGACCCTAGGTGGCCCCTGGGATCGTCTGTGGTTTCAGGAGACAAGGTGCCACGGTGGGTGGCCAAGAACAAAGAAAAGGGAGCCAAGAACCACGGAAGAAGGCGAGAGGGGGGGGGGATTTGGCATGGGTGGAGGCAGCTTGGGAGCCCTTTCACGGCCAAAGGCTGGGTTGACCAGCAAAGAGCGAGACGGAACTGGGTTTCGTCGAGAGGTGGGAGCCGGAAGTCGTTGCACCTTTCCGGAACGGAGACCCTCCATTCCCCGGTGCCTTTCCCATCACCACCACCACCACCACCTCTTCTTCCTCCAATCCAGAGAGCCACGCTGGGGGAAGGGACGGAAATAAGACAGGGAAGGGACGCGCAGCAGAATGAGGCCAAGCAGCACACAGAGAGAGAGAGAGAGAGAGGGAGGGAGGAGGAGGTCATCCGGGCGGCTGAAAAAAGCCAAGGACTGGCGGTAAAGCAAAGTGTGTGTTTGTGTGTGTGAGTGAGTGAGTGTGTGTGTGTGTGTGTGTGTGTGTGTGTGAGAGAGAGAGAGAGAGAGAGAGCATGCAAGCTTATCTAGGGTAGGAGCAGAGCCTGGCAGGCCATGCACACCCAGGCCATTGGTCCCTTGACGAACTACCTTAGCAGCCCTCGGTGGGGAAGAGAGAGAGAGAGAAGAGACCAAGAAGAAGCATCAGCCTTAGTCTCTCGGTTCATTTTTTCATTCAAGAGACTCCCACACACATGTACACACAGAGACATGCACGAGTGCATTCTCTCTGTGTGTGTTCGTGCAATCCTGCCTTTTGCTTGTGAATGGCACCAGAGACGGGGGGGGAACCCTCAAGTCCCCCCCCCGAAAGTACCTCGAAACTACCAGTACTTCCACCGTTGCCCACTGACTGGCGCCGAAGGTGGAAATGGCCATCACGCCCCTCCTCCCCCCAGAGGCTGACCCTGGTTCCCCTCCCCCCCATTCTGCCACAGTCCACTAGCCCCTTTCCTCCAGCTGAGAGCCCAGAGGTCCAAAGACTTCACACCCCTCCAGATGTGCCAGCACAGCTGCCCTTCCCCCCCCCGCCTGGCTGTGTTAGGGTGGCTGGCATCTCCTCGCCTGAACACGGAAGCAGGGTCTCCCCCTTCTGCTCCGGGGATTGTGGCCCCTGTTGGATTTCCGCCTGTCGCGCAGCCGCCGCAGAACCCTCAGGGAGGCAGGAGAGAAAGCAGGCCGTCATCCTGCCCGATGAGCCCCTTCTTCCAACTCCAGAGGAGAAAGTATGGCTATATTTTAAGGCGCTGGAGGAAATAGTTACAATCCCAGCCAACCGTTTCTCCCCTCCCTGGGGGCCGCCAGACCCAAAATCTCTGCAGCGTCGTTAGTCACGGAGCATGTACAAAGTGCTGGTCCCTGAGGATGGAGACCAAGCCACCTGTCTGATGGGCCACCGAACAAGGAGGGAGGGAGGGAGACGTGGGATGCTGAGATATGGGGGTCAGGGACACGGAGAAGGGGAAACGTTCCCCCTCCAAGGCGGTAGGGCCTGGACCCACTCTTTCAGCGCTTGGCTGCCCTGGGGGGGGGCAGGCAAGGTTGCGCTGGCACTCCTGGGAGAGGAATGCCAAAGAAGAGGCCAGCGGGGGGGGGCTGTTCTGTGCGCCGAGAAGGGCCCCCGCTGTGCCCGTGAATGCTGCTGCCGCCTCCACGCCGATGCCTCATGTTCTGCTCAGGAAGGGGACCCGAGCCCTTCCGCGTCACCCGGCGTGCCAGGAAACGGGAAGAACAGCCGGGCCGAAGGAGGGCCCCCCCCCACCTGAGGGTCGAGAGTCTGCCCTCCCGGGAGGCCCCAAACCTTTCCAGGAAGGCCGCCGGCGCCCTCCCCAACCGGGTGGGGAGTTTTTCGGAGACGGCACAGCGGCTCCGGTTGACAGGAGGCTCGCCCCTGTCTGGCCTCCCTTGACCCCACCCCACGCCACGCCACCCCACCTCGGAGGGGCAGAAGCACCCTGGGAGGGCTTGCCCACAAGGGGCCCAGCCGGAGGACAGGGAGGGCCTCGAATGGGGGGGGAGGTGAGGGAGGCTGGCAAGGATGCCCAAGGGGCGGGAGGGGGAAGAACTGGGGGCTCAGCAGGGCCCCACTGGAGGCAGAGGCCATGGGGGGTGTCGATATCTCCCCATGCGACTGCAGCAAGGGGGCAGAGAGAGAGACCTGGGGGGGGAGCAGACAGCAGGAAGCTGCAGCCCCTACTCAAGAATGCAAGACTCCTTCCGTCGTCTTTATGATGGGGAGGGGGGGATGGTGTTTGTTCTGGTGGGA